CGACAATTAAAAAAACAATCCCTATCATGTTACAAAAACCAGCATGACCACCTAAATCTGTCATGACCTGGTTTTAGCAGCAGGGTTTTGTGTCACGGCTCTTATGCACAGTGTAAACCCATGTTTAGCATGTGATAATGTTAACAAATCAGCCGAATTCAAATGCACTCATGTTTTAGTCTGGATAACATAAAAGAGCTTGTTGCGGTAAAGCCCAACAAAGCCTTATTTCTCAAATATTTCACAGAGTGGAGCTTAACAGATCTACTCTGACAAACGAAGACGAGGCTTTCGAGGCTTAGGCACACAATACAAATTCACAGTGTGACCAGCAAATAAATCAGATCTGTAGGATTTATAACATTGCAGACAACACCGTGGGCCTAATCTAATGAAAACAACTCTGTGATTCTGTTCCACAATAAGTGTTTAATTTTTATTTCAGTCTACTCAGGTATTTGAGTGTTTTGCGGAGAACTTGTGTTGTTGTAAAGAGGGGCCTGATTAACACCGGACACCCAGACATACACAATTACACGCCTAGGGGAGAGGAGGGGGATGTGGAAGCCAAAACCAAGCTATATTTAACATCTTCTACATGTGGGCTTCATTTGGGTGAATGGGCCTGCATACCTCCACTGACAAGAACCAGGCAGACCCAAATCCTCCAGTCTCTTAACCCTTGCATCCCTGTACCAAGAAAGGCTGAATTCTGTTGACTTGGATCCTTCTATTAATCCGAAGGTCTGACTCTCCTGTCATTCCTTGACTATTAGGAAAATCCATCCATAACATGACATGGTTTAACTGAAGAGGGGTGTGATCAGGTGGACTTGCGTTTGTTTGAGCAGGGCTGAGACGTTCGCTGATACGTGGCCAAGCGGTTTGAGTCTGGTTTTTATGGTGGCACTGATCATTCAGAGTGCATGAGAGTCGTGAGCTTGATCGGTTTCTCTCTGTTCTGTGTTATCTGTGTTCCAGACCCGAGGCCTTAAACTGGTCCTTTCTCCAGCCCCTCCACACCTCTGCTCCACTCCAGATGTCTGTAGCACACACATGGGCTCATAACACGCTTATGATACTATACAGACCCTGACACCCAAACAATGATCCAGGGCTTTCAAAATGCAAATTATTATTTTTTTTTTAGCTAATGAATTAAAAGTGTGAAATTCCTTCGCAGTGCTATATTTTTAATGAACACAGGGCCATCCTTAGCTGACGCGGGGCCCGGTGTGAGGTAGGGAGTGGGGCCCCCCTCGGTCCATTCGCGATCACGTTCCATGGGGGTGTTGGGTTGTTTACCCCTTGGTCCATGGGCTCATAACACGCTTATGATACTATACAGGCCCTGACACCCAAACAATGATCCAGGGCTTTCAAAATGCAAATTATTATTTTTTTTTTAGCTAATGAATTAAAAGTGTGAAATTCCTTCGCAGTGCTATATTTTTAATACCCTGACACCCAAACAATGATCCAGGGCTTTCAAAATGCAAATTATTATTTTTTTTAGCTAATGAATTAAAAGTGTGAAATTCCTTCGCAGTGCTATATTTTTAATGAACACAGGGCCATCCTTAGCTGACGCGGGGCCCGGTGTGAGGTAGGGAGTGGGGCCCCCCTCGGTCCATTCGCGATCACGTTCCATGGGGGTGTTGGGTTGTTTACCCCTTGGTCCATTCGCGATCACGTTCCATGGGGGTGTTGGGTTGTTTACCCCTTGGTCCATTCGCGATCACGTTCCATGGGGGTGTTGGGTTGTTTACCCCTTGGTCCATTCGCGATCACGTTCCATGGGGGTGTTGGGTTGTTTACCCCTTGGTCCGTTCGCGATCGCGTTCCGGGGAGGGGGGGGGGGGCCCGGGCTTGCGGGGGGGGGGGGGGGGGGTTGGGGGCGTTCGCCGCAGGGCCCGGTGTGACCGCACCAGTTGCACCCCCCTAAGGACGGCCCTGAATGAACATCCCGAACCTCCACACTAATGAGAGCGCCATTTAGATGAATATGTAAAGATGTGCTCAATGCTTTCCTCTCAATAACAAAATAAACATACAGCAAAAATGTCAGCTGTGAGAAAACAGCAGTTGAGAAATCATCTGATCATAGCAATGTGGGTGTTTGCGCACCAGCTCTGCAGTTCAGCAATATCCAGGCAAGTCCCATCACATTTATTACCCCATTACTTTATAAATGTAATTCATAATATATTCATTAAACCAAACATAACAGCACTAATATGTCCGATGCAGGGTCACAGGCCACATCATCTCAATTCACACATAAGCCACAAAAAATAAACAAGATTTAACTAACACACATACTTTCTCACTAGTTCAAATGCCCACAAAAATGCAGAGGACTAAAAATACACATCAAACTCTGTGTTAAAAGAAAAAAAATGCTTAAAGTTTTTGCAGAAGCCCAAACACCTTCCTCAGAGTGTGTGTGTGAGCATGAGAACGGGCGGAGAGAACATTCCAGGCATAAACATTAGTGAAAATAATGTCACAGAGGGGAAACTGGTGAGAGTCCAAGGCTTTTGTCACCAAAGCGAAAGGCAACAACAGTTGTGCACATTCACACACCTGTACTCAACATGCTCATGTGACTATTATCTAACGTGCTGAGCTCACAGCTTTGGTCTGAAGTGGGTCACTCTCAGGACCATCGGTTTCAACAGAAGTTCTCTTCCATTAGATGTTCTTCATCAAAAACAGGTAATATCAAGCCTAAACTTGCAACAACTTCGCTATCACATTGATCTTAACAGCTGATGGTGAAGATATATCATGAATTCACACTTGGTTGTCAACATTTTTGACAGGAAGTACTGAAATAATCCTGTGTTATGATACAGCAAACACTTTGCATGTGAATTAGAGTAACAACAACTCCACCAAGCTGCTGAATATTAAATAGATGTTGATATGTAAACATGGGTGACCACAAGTTAATGTGCTCAGAGTTTGTCTACATAGAAGGTAATTTATTTAAAAAAATATAAATAAATCCTTCATTCCACAGTAGCCTTGCCATCTACTGTCTACATAGGCAGGTGCCTTATAAGGCATCCTTAGGCTAAGTTCAAACTACACGAATTTAAATGTCGGCAGATCGCTGTGCTGTTCAGACTACATGACTTGATTGTCTGTTATTATGTCGTTGTGGTGTTCACACTACGTGACTATGTAAATGATCTGCAACCGGGGGTTACACACTACACAAGCTGACAACAACTCGGTCACCCAACGACTCTACAAACCACATTTTGTCACGAAAACACATGCGAGAATTGGAATGGGAATGACACGAAACAGGAGTTGTTTATTTGAAAATGGATGTCTGGAAGAAATTAGCACTGCAAGCTGTTTGCTCGATGAAAAATTTTGCTCCATTTATTGTGTCCAAACTATTCTTTAAGCTATGTCGCTGCTGTTGTTTTTCTTCCGGTGTCCTCAACCCATGCCTTGCTCTCTCATTGGCTGTAGTTCGTCACGACACCTGACACCATGTGATGTCGAGTCGGCCGACCGGTCCAGATATTTGGCATGCTAGATATTTGTTTGCCATCGGTGAGGTGTCGGCGAAGCATCAGCGAGCCTCTTTGATGCGTCGTTGTGTAGTTCACACATAAAGATTGCCAAGCACCGATCACCCGCTGATTTCCCCCCGATCACAGCCCAACCTGTCGGCGAGCTCGTTAATTTGCAAATCGGTATTAAATCGGGCTTAAAATCCTGTAGTGTGAACTAGGCATAATTGGACCACTGTACATAGGTAGTAACTAATGGTACATGAATCACAATTGTTTTAAAGAGATTATCGCTTTAGCATGTTGCTAAGCTAACAACAAAATTATTTTCATAATACACAAATTAGGTACAAACATCCATTTTTATGACTTTGAACTATTTCATACATTTTATTATTGAAGGAATTGTAACCATTTATAAACGACAATCTTTCTGACTCGTCGGCCATCTTGGAAGGAAAATGAAAGACACAAGCTGCCTACTTTTTAGAAAAGTAACCAAAGACTCACTACACCTTCAAAAAAGTCTGACATGAGGTGTGTAGACTGAAAAAAAAAAATCTAGACAATCATAAATGCAAAAAGAGGCCTGAAAAAGGCAAACATTTGCACTTGTTTTGCCTTTCAGTAAAGCAGTGGCTTTTCATCTTGCATTTTTTTGTCATTATTAGATTGTGTGGGCCTACTTTTTAAGTTTGCATTTATGTTTGGGAATGTGCCTATGAAGGCAGCTCACGAGGTTTTGCAACAGAGCCTACATGTTATATTATTGCTTTACCTGAAAACTGATGAAATTGCAGAATGTATTCAACATACAACGAGATTTCAAATGATGTCAGTCATGCGTGTAGCATGCAAAGTCAGGAGCTGTGTTATCAGAAGCAGCAGTGGGAGCAAGACTTCTCCTTATTTTGATCCAAGACAAACACCATCCTGCTATTGTTTCTTTCATCTGAATAGATCTATTGCTCCCCAGCTGGAGGAACACCATGTTCTGTGACACACAAATGGGAGGAGAAAGGATTACTCCTGGCTCTGGGATCACGACCGTGACCTTTCCCTCACTGTGTGTGTGTGTGTGTGTGTTTGTGTGTAAAAGTCTATGTTTGGATGCCTCTACAGGTACTACAGGTACTTGTAGAACGTGTTCCGAAAATATTTTTCCTACTCTGTCTAAACAATGAAAAAAATGTGTGAACGGGAACAGCAACAGTAGCTGCACGTCTCAAGCATTACAGATTGTAAGAGAAGAAATACTGTGGAGGCAGTGGAAAAAATCTATTGCAGGAATGGACGCGCTGAGTTGACGGATAGAGAGACATGCAAAGGGAGTGGCTTGTTAGACTAGAGGGCTAAGAAATAGTCAGCTGAATCAAATCCAAAGTTTATTTTTGAGCTAAAACATTCAGTGCAGCTCATCTCTTGGTCAGCATTGCACTTAAAGGTGATCTAAATATCTATACATACCTGATGATGAACCATCCATGGGAGACGGGTAGAGACGACCCAAAACCAACAACAACAAGAAAAGACTGGGGTGCAGCTTCACCTGCCCTGCATCACTGAAAGAGAGAGAAAGGGAAATACATTCCATATGACTTCCATTTACTTACCTAAAATACTTGACTTATGTAACTACCTTAACTAACAAGTTAACTTCCTTAACTTATGTAATAATGTAATCAACTAAGGTGACCTACTAAATTAACACAACTTAAGTTACTAACATAGCTAACACAATGCAGCTCATCTCTTGGTCAGCATTGCACTTAAAGGTGATCTAAATATCTATACATACCTGATGATGAACCATCCATGGGAGACGGGTAGAGACGACCCAAAACCAACACCAACAAGAAAAGACTGGGGTGCAGCTTCACCTGCCCTGCATCACTGAAAGAGAGAGAAAGGGAAATACATTCCATATGACTTCCATTTACTTACCTAAAATACTTGACTTATAACTAACAAGTTAACTTCCTTAACTTATGTAATAATGTAATCAACTAAGGTGACCTACTAAATTAACACAACTTAAGTTACTAACATAGCTAACACAAATAACGTGTTTTTGTAATGTTTTGCCTTTGCTTACACATTACAGAACATAGCTTCCTTAAGCTAGCAAAGCTTCACTGGACAAACCTAACTAACTTACCTGTATGTGGCTTCATAAATGTCTCTAACTTAGATTAGAATAACTTCTTCCACTTACTAATTCAAGAAACTAACTGAACTAACCTAGCTTACCGTACCTATATGTGAGTTCAAACTTCTCTAATTATTAAACTAGCATAGCTTCCTTCACTTATTAACATGCATAACCAACAGAACTAAGCTACAGTGGGGAAAATAATTATTTGATCCCCTGCTGATTTTGTAAGTTTGCCCACTTGCAAAGAAATTAAGGGTCTGTAATTTTAATGGTAGGTCAATTTTAACGGATAGAGGCAAAATACCAACCAAAAAAAAAAATCCAGAAAAAAATGCATTATATAAAGGTTAAAGATTTGCATTTCAGTGAGTGAAATAAGTATTTGATCCCCCACCAATCAGCAAGAATTCTGGCTCCCACAGATTGGTTATATGCCCATGTGGAACTCAGATTAGTCCTGTCACTTTAAGAAGTTACTCCTAATGTCAGCTCGTTAGGTGTATAAGACACCTGTCCAGAACTTGAGATCATCTCCAAGCCCAGGGAGACTGAAGTGTTAAAGCTCATGCACATTCAAGAAAAAGTTGGAAGGGGAGTGCGAGAACGAACCAATGAAATATGATAAATCAGAGGAATGGAAAAAGACGTCAAAATGAGCAAAAAAGTTCAGCGAGGGTGAAGAGGTGATAAGACTAGAAGAAAATGAGAGATTAGCAAAGCGAGTTTCAGTCTTGGCTCCACTTGCCCTGGTCTTTTCATCTCATTTCATCTCTGGTGCATGTCCAACCGAACCCTCTCGACACTCATTTCTCATGTTAAATGTTTTAAATTGTTATAAATCCCTCAAGCCGAGGCAAATCATTCATCACGATTTCATCCGTGCTCGTGAAATCTTCATATCGCAAACTGGTTTACAAATTGCAAAGAGGGCGATGAACCGTATTCCAGTGTTCCCACATGCTTTTTACAGCCTGCTTTCCAGATAAAAGAAACATTCTGGATTGAACTTCAATAGGAAAAACATCTCAATCACACTAAATGGCGAACTCCCCCCTAGACATCCCATGATGCTCTTTTCATATTTGGTAAAGGTGGGTGGTGCAAACCTCTTCGCACTTCTCTCTACCCTTATTTATATGCTAAATAATTTATAGGTGGTATAAAATACGAGTGCTGCAGAGCCTAGCTTGGCAAGCAGGATGCAAAGCACACGCGGTTTACTTATCGGAGGAATCTCAGCTAGGAATCTGTCCATCAGTTTGGTTGAAAGGCTTAATAGGTCTAAAGAGGCTTGATGGGGCATTTAAACGATCTTAAATATGGGCCTCGGAGAAATTAAAGAAGGGTGAGAAGAAGAACTGGGTCTGTTTAGCGAACGCTGGGATCGTTCAGCTCTTTAACAACATCTGACGCAAATCGCACACACATTGCGGGGTCCTGTAATATTATAGGGGGCCTTTTGTTGGGAAATTCTCACCTGTTCACAGAGGCTGGAGCTTCCTGTAGCTGACGGAGGAGGAAGGGATAGAGGGCAGGAAAACGAGGGAAAAACTCTCGGCCAGTCATCCTGTTAAGAGAAGAGAGAAATGAAGGTTACAGTATGTGCAGGATTGCAGATGAGATCAGATGAGGAATGACAAATGAATGACATTAATCAACTGGTAACCAGTTTTTCCGTTTGGCTGATAAGTTGAGTTTAAGTATTTGTTCAGCTGATTAAACACTACCTTTTCAATAATCTTGCCTACAAAAGGAAGATTTTATATTGGTCTATAATTGCTCAAAATGTTATCAAGATTGCTCTTTTTCAGAAGGGGCTTAACAACTGCAGTTTTCAGGGAGTCTGGAAACGTCCCAGAAAGTAGTAAGGCATTCACCACCTCTAACTGTGCGTTCACACCGCCGCCGTCGAGAGCATCAAAAATCACTCTGGCTGCCCTGCCAACAACGCTGTAGAAAGATTTGCGGATGCTCTGAAGTAGATTGAATGCTTATCTTGTATTTAAAGAGGTCGCAAAGCAAACAAGCTTATCGATCTTGTGCAGACTGACCACAAGGAGGGTTGTGAAAGGATTGTGAGGATTGTGAGAACATTGAAAAAGTTTAATTAAATATGCTAGAAAAACCTGCTCCTCCAAGAATGTGCATTTATTGCATGGACGGAGCAAGAACATGATGAAAATGTTTAAAACGCAGGTGTGCAGTCCAGTTGAAAGCTTCCCCTTTTTGACTTGCTGTTAATGCCGTTATACTGAATGTAAGCAGCAAACTGTCTGCTTAACCACCATATAAACAAACAACAGTGAAATAAGGACATGCGGTTTATCTTTCAATCGATGTTGCGTTCGCTACTATAGTAACAGCAGACTGAAATTAAGATAAAGATATCACGTCATGCAGCGGTGTGTTATAAAATGTATGGTATAAATAAATATAGTTATCAAGAATAATGCAATGCACCAGTGTAGAAAATGAGCCAGAAAGAGGACAAAGTTTTTCACAATTCAGTGAAGAAAAGTTTAGGATTAGTTGGAAATTAATTGATTGATCTGTCCGTCTGTCTATTCTCCGTGCAGAGCTGCAGACATTGCACCAACGTTTAAAAATAAAGAAATACACAAATATCTGAAAATCTTTTAAATATCATCCAACCAAGACATATTACTGGGAGATATTGAGTTCTATACATTTAATGTAAGTAGTCTGCAATACAGTTATAAAGAACTCACTGATTTACATCACATGCTATCATAATTTCATCTTACTTTTGGGCATATAAATATCAGCAGCTGCACAAAATTGCTTATTTTTGCTCAGCTTGGGCCTCTGAATAAAACTGAGGTGCTTTTTCCTTGGAGTAGGAGCTCTATATTCTTTCTCACTATATCATACTATATGAGCCATAAAAGCCTGATGTATCAAATATGATACTCAACAAAAAAAAAAAAACAAAACTTATAAAACTCAAAAAACAAAACCAAAAAAAAAAAAAAAAAAAAAAAAAAAAAAAAAATTCTGACCTAATGCATATGTCAGGCTTTCCAGGGTAAACATATTCAAATATTACAATGACAAATATTTGTAATTGTCATTTCACATCACAGTGCATTATAGGATTATTCCCTCTGATATGGATACATGCAATTCTGCCAAAAGAAGGCATTTCCTTCTGGAACCCCTTTGTGTCAGGAACGTGCTGCCTATGTAGGCAGCTCACTAGATTTTGGAACAAAGCCTAAGTGACACAAGGAGAGGAGAGAGAGGCCGAGACCTTTAAAGGTCTGGTTTGTAAACCACTTCCTAAAGTCTGCGCTCTTTACAGCTCTATAAAGCTCTCATTAGCTCAGCCTCTGATGGAGCGCTGCAGGGACACATGGTTTGTTTATTCCTTAGAAAGCAGCGCGGCTGGAATAAACCCTGGGAATCTCGCTCGAGACAAATGCGTATGTGTTAAGAGAGGGCAAGTCAGACAGTGAAAGTGTATGCGTGAGTGACACACATAAACGTATCTTTATTTAGCTAAGCCTCTGTGTTTAAGATAGACCTTCCAATAAAACTTTTTTTTTTCCATGTCTAACTGAAAAAGCCTATACAGGGCTAACTTTAGCTCAAGAGCCAAGTTTTCAAACACACATGTTGTGACTTCAGCTATGTAAAATACACACACAAACACACCACATCCTGTTTCAACCGCTAATGCACAGTCTGGTCTGAACTTAGGCCAGGTCGCTGTCATGGTAACAAGGTGGGTCAGCTTCGTCTGCAACCTGGCCACATGCTGCATGCTAGCAACACACACAAATGAGCCCTGACGTGGGCAAATGTGGTTACAGTTAAACTCAACACAACCCTGCATACCGTCAGTATGGATTAGTGTCTTTCAGACAAAACACTTCCAAGATGTCCATAAATGCAGGCTGTCGAGCTCAAACCGTCTTTAACCACTCCCGTTTGTCATTACTTACATTCACAAATGAATGTAAGGTGATATAAGTAAGCATATCACGTGTAATGCATTTGAGTGTGAAGCATAGGGCCATTGCAACCACAAACGCTGACCACACACACACACACAAACACACACTACACTACAGTATTTCTTTCGTCAATTTGTTTATGTAACGTAAAGCACATTCGGATCATGAAAACAGGAAACAAACTTTTTTTTTTTCCTGTATTGTGCACTAGATGACTGAGGTCACCCAATAAACGCCTGAGGAACAAGCAAACTCTCTCTGTATTCTGATCAAGACCAAGCAAACACAAATTAACAAAAGTATCATTTTTGCAAGGGAAAATAGTCAAACAAGTTAGTACAACAAAGGCAAATGTTTAAAGAGTGAGAAGATGTTATCAGATGCTAGCAACTCTGTTAGTCTTGTTTATAAACTGAAGTTGTTTCTTGTCAAAATTTGTTTTACGTAATGGTTTAAAGACTTTTGTTGTGTTTCATTTTAGTGTTTAACGAAGATGTGCATCATTTGTTTTTCAAACTGTGATTTGACTCATTTGATGAGAAAAAGAAACAAACAAAGAAAAAAGAAAAAGAAAAAACATCACCGTAATCATTGTTATAATGGTAAGTAGATCAAGTCAAATATTTTTATAGTTACGCAAAACATGAAAACTAATGTAAAACATGTTTGAATAGCAAACCAAACAGCTACTAAAACTCAACAAATGTGTGTTTGATAAACAAATAAAAGATTGTACAACTCTTACTCTCGTACACAAACACACGTAATTTTAATTATTTGAGAAAATTACTAGCAATTTATGAGTGAAAATTATTTTAAAAGAAACGCATGAAAGTTTGAACTAGATTTTGAACTGACAGTAAAGACTTTTTCATTGTTACAAAAATCTTTATATAAATGTTCTTTTAAACTTTCTATTCAAACAATCCTTAAGTATTACCGTTTTCACAAAAATATTAAGCAACACTGTTTTCAACAGTGATAATAAGAAATCAGCATATTAGAATGAAGTGAATTCATAGCAATGAATAGTGCATTAGTATGTGAGATGGGATGCACCTTGCAATTTGGAGAATGCAGTCAGTTTTGCGTGCAAAAAGAAAATTTGCATACTGTGCACAGTACACATACTCTGCTGCAGAAATAGTGAGATAGTATGCTATTCTGAACATAGCCACAGTACACACACTGATTGCAAACAAGAAGTCTCAACAGAGAATGGCCTGTCAAAATGTTTGACAAGTACATGTCAGCGCACAAATCACAAGACTCACAAAAACGCTTGCACACAGGAAGATAAAATAAACAAAATAACATTAGGCAATAGCTGCGTGACCCGCAGGATGAAGATGCCTGCCATACAAACACATAAAACTAAAGACAAACATGTTGATCTAGTGGCAGGGTTATCCAGGAAGTAAACGGTCCCGACTATGGGTGTTCAGAGCGCCCGAGCCAGACCGAAGAGTCAGCGTTATTTCAGTGCGATTATGACAAAGCTCAGTTTCAGTGACCACTAAAGATTCAGCGTCTCTTTAGAAAATCCCAGGGTAATCTTCAAGTGAATTGCCACGGTCAGCTGACCTGGAACCACATGGGCTCTTTGAAGTGTGAGGTATTCCAACACACTAGGTTGTGCCATTACGGCCCCCTCAATTTTCCAATTAAGTCCAATCAGCACACCGATTAATCATAACAAACCATGATCTCATGAGTGAGCCATTATTGTTCTTCAACGAGGTCAGTGCCACTCCTGTTTAGTCATTCTTCACTTCATCCGTGACCTCACTGCGTTCAATCCCAGAATGCATCTGAACATTCTTGCAACAGCTGGCGCTCCACTGGTTTGGATGAGATTAGGGAGCTGATGCAGAGCAGGCCACGCAGCAGGAGGGCCCACCCGCCCTGTCCTGCGGTGACCAGGGATCAGAGGTCATGGCCAACCCGGCAGCATTGGAGAGGGTGTGAATGTGTGCAATAATTGTGTCAACCTTTGTGCGTGCTTGGGCAAGATGTTGTTAGCATTCCTTTTACTACGGAAAAGATAAACATGTGTTGAAGTGCTCCAATGCCTGTCAAGAGTTTGAGGCTATCAGCAAAAGGGAAGAGTTGAAACCGCGAACAAAAGAGTAAGTCTTTGCGAGGGTGGATAAACGTGGAATGAGGATAGAAGCAGAACACAAACAAACAAAGGCCATCAGGGAGTTAGGAGATACATCCAGAACATTTAAGGAGCTGGAAGGTGTCCATGCGCTGTAGGCCAACATATGACAGAGATTAATGACTGGAATAGAAGACTGGAAGGAGAAAAAGCACAGAACTTCAGTGCCCCCTAGTGAACCACCTCGACAGGACAAGTACACTGTAAGATGTCCAACTTCTATTCTGTCAGACAAACACTATTTTGAAGGTTGACCGATTGTAGAATAAGTTGCCTCTACATGAAAGTGTCTTTTAGGCCATTTAGAATGAGCAACTTCAAATATTAAACAGCAAAAACTTGCAATGTCAACTTTGGTCAAACTACCAGGCTGAGTTTGATCACTGATCACCCATAATCCCTTGCACTTAAAGGAGACATATTATGCCC